TACACCACTGTAGCAGTGGTACTCCACTGCTGCTACTACCACTGCTTGACCACCACTGAAACCCAGTGGTACTACCACTGCTGCTACTACCACTGTTGTACCACCACTGTAACAGTGGTACTACCACTGCTGCTACTACCACTGTTGTACCACCACTGTAGCAGTGGTACTACCACTGCTGCTACTACCACTGTTGTACCACCACTGTAGCAGTGGTACTACCTCTGCTGTTACGACCTTTGACTTAATTTTTGGCTACAGTGGCAAATTTTGGCCACTAGTGTGGTGAAGAAGAGAGAGCCAGAGCTCTATGGAGCACGCTTCACTCTTTAGAGCTTCAACAACTCAACTGACTTGGAAAAAAATTCTATTGAAAACTCTCTATCGTCTGGAAATGAAGCTCTACCTCGAGCTCTGTGATGTCTAAGTGAAGCTCTATTATGTCTGTAAATAAAACTCTGTGTCTTCAAATAAAGCTCTAGTTTGAGCTATTGACATATGTACATAAAGCTGTAATGTGAGCTTTATGACATAAGTAATAAGCTCCAATGTGATGTCTATAGTATCTGTAAATAAAGCTCTACCCTGAGCTCTATGATTGTAAATAAAGTTCTAGTGTAAGCTCTATGACGTCTGTAAATTGAAGCTCTTGTGTGGTCTCAATGATGTTTGAAAATAAAGCTTTAGTGTGAGCTCTATATAAATCTCTAGTCTCAGCTCTACGGTCTCTGTAAATAAAGCTCTAGCGAGAGCTCTCTGTCCTCGATAAATGAAGCTTTAACGAGACATCTCAGGACTGGATAAAGCTCTAGCGAGAGCTCTATGTCCTCAGGACTGGATAAAGCTCTAGCGAGAGCTCTATGTCCTCAGGACTGGATAAAGCTCTAGCGAGAGCTCTATGTCCTCAGGACTGGATAAAGCTCTAGCGAGAGCTCTATGTCCTCAGGACTGGATAAAGCTCTAGCGAGAGCTCTATGTCCTCAGGACTGGATAAAGCTCTAGCGGGAGCTCTATGTCCTCAGGACTGGATAAAGCTCTAGCGAGAGCTCTATGTCCTCAGGACTGGATAAAGCTCTAGCGGGAGCTCTATGTCCTCAGACTGGATAAAGCTCTAGCGAGAGCTCTATGTCCTCAGGACTGGATAAAGCTCTAGCGGGAGCTCTATGTCCTCAGGACTGGATAAAGCTCTAGCGAGAGCTCTATGTCCTCAGGACTGGATAAAGCTCTAGCGAGAGCTCTATGTCCTCAGGACTGGATAAAGCTCTCTCCTGCACACAGTTTTCACCAGCTGAATAATTACAATAATATAATTAATGAAAATAATTAAAAATAATAATAACTGATAATTGTAATTCTTATCATTGTCGGCCATCTTGGATATTTTACACCATATTAAACTGTTCTTATCCTATTACATTATCCAGCATCAATATTACATTATCCAGCATCAATATTACATTATCCAGCATCAATATTACATTATCCAGCATCAATATTACATTATCCAGCATCAATATTACATTATCCAGCATCCATGTTACATTATCCAGCATCAATATTACATTATCCAATATTACATTATCCAGCATCAATATTACATTATCCAATATTACATTATCCAGCATCAATATTACATTATCCAGCATCAATATTACATTATCCAGCATCCATGTTACATTATCCAGCATCAATATTACATTATCCAGCATCCATGTTACATTATCCAGCATCAATATTACATTATCCAGCATCAATATTACATTATCCAGCCCTCCAAAGTTACATTATCCAGCATCCATGTTACATTATCCAGCATCAATATTACATTATCCAGCATCAATATTACATTATCCAATATTACATTATCCAGCATCAATATTACATTATCCAATATTACATTATCCAGCTTCAATATTACATTATCCAGCATCAATATTACATTATCCAGCATCAATATTACATTATCCAGCATCAATATTACATTATCCAGCATCAATATTACATTATCCAATATTACATTATCCAGCATCAATATTACATTATCCAGCTTCAATATTACATTATCCAGCATCAATATCACATTATCCAGCATCAATATTACATTATCCAGCATCAATATTACATTATCCAATATTACATTATCCAGCTTCAATATTACATTATTCATCATCAATATTACATTATTCATCATAAATATTACATTATTCAGCTTCATTACATTATCCATCATCAATATTACATTATCCAGCATCCATGTTACATTATCCCACAACACAATTACATTATCCATCATCAATATTACATTATCCAGCATCCATGTTACATTATCCCACAACACAATTACATTATCCATCATCAATATTACATTATCCAGCATCCATGTTACATTATCCCACAACACAATTACATTATCCATCATCAATATTACGTTATCCAGCATCCATGTTACATTATCCCACATCACAATTACATTATCCAGCATCAATATTATATTATCCCACATCAATATTACATTATTCATCTCTAATATTATTACATTACAGAGCATCACAATTACATTATCCAGCTCCAACATTACATTAACCAGCATCAATAGGCTTACAGTAGGCTTCAGACAGGCCTATATGACGAAAATCATTCTGCTGTAACCAGCATCAATGCTACAAAATAAGTTCCCAGAATACAGTTCTAGGTGTCATAAGACACTGTACTGTGACGTACACTGCCTGTAGCGTCACTATACTGTGACGTACACTGCCTGTAGCCTCATTGTATTGTGACGTACACTGTCTGTAGCCTCACTGTATTGTGACGTACACTGCCTGTAGCCTCACTATATTGTGACGTACACTGCCTGTAGCCTCACTATATTGTGACGTACACTGTAGCCTTACTGTACTGTGACGTACACTGCCTGTAGCCTCACTATACTGTGACGTACACTGTAGCCTTACTGTACTGTGACGTACACTGCCTGTAGCATCACTGTATTGTGACGTACACTGCCTGTAGCCTCACTGTATTGTGACGTACACTGCCTGTAGCCTCACTGTATTGTGACGTACACTGCCTGTAGCCTCACAGTATTGTGACGTACACTGCCTGTAGCCTCACTGTATTGTGACGTACACTGCCTGTAGCCTTACTGTATTGTGACGTACACTGCCTGTAGCCTCACTGTATTGTGACGTACACTGCCTGTAGCCTTACTGTATTGTAACGTACACTGCCTGTAGCCTCACTATACTGTGACGTACACTGCCCGTAGTCTCACTATACTGTGACGTACACTGCCTGTAGCCTCACTATACTGTGACGTACACTGCCTGTAGCCTCACTATACTGTGACGTACACTGCCTGTAGCCTCACTATACTGTGACGTACACTGTAGCCTCACTGTATTGTGACGTACACTGCCTGTAGCCTCACTGTATTGTGACGTACACTGCCTGTAGCCTCACTGTACTGTGACGTACACTGCCTGTAGCCTCACTGTACAGTGACGTACACTGCCTGTAGCCTCACTGTACTGTGACGTACACTGTAGCCTCACTGTACTGTGACATACACTGCCTGTAGCCTCACTGTACAGAGACGTACACTGCCTGTAGCCTCACTGTACTGTGACGTACACTGCCTGTAGCCTCACTGTACTGTGACGTACACTGCCTGTAGCCTCACTGTACTGTGACGTACACTGCCTGTAGCGTCACTGTACTGTGACGTACACTGCCTGTAGCGTCACTGTACTGTGACGTACACTTTAGCCTCACTGTACTGTGACATACACTGCCTGTAGCGTCGCTGTACTGTGACGTACACTGCCTGTAGCCTCACTGTACTGTGACGTACACTGTAGCGTCAATGTACTATAATCACTGTACTTTAATGTACACTTACTGAGGGTCACAAAATGTTCAGAAATGTTCGCTTGGCAACAGTTATAGCGCAATGTTATAGGAATATAACATTCAGGAATATTTAGTTATAGCAGATATGTATAATTCATTGTTATACTTCTCACTTCACTAGTTACGATCTATAATTTAAATAATGTAACATAATTATATTGGAAAGTAACATTTACATTATTTTCGTTGAAATTAAAGAAAACGGGAATTGGCTTGGTTATTGGATAATTAGAATTATTATAATAATCAACAAGGGCTTGATAACTGCCAGTTATCCATCAGGATAATTCAGTACATACAGCCGAAGTGGAACTCATTTAAAAGGCTAAATAATCAATTAATGGCCAGGATAATCGGGTTGGAAAAAAGAGTTGAGTGGAGTCAAGGATAATGTGAAGAGTGTGCGGGTATGTTGCGGGTATGTTGCATATCACAAGGTTGATATGTTGCTGACAGCTTACAATGCAGTTATCTTTTTACAGTGAAGATGGCGTGAGGATGATACAAGGATTACCATACTGGTGTGGATAACACAGATGTTATCATACCCAACTGCGTCATCATACTGGTTATCTACTGATTATGGATGATATCATACACTGTTTTTGTTTTATATAGGGCAAAAAAAGACGAATTTCCTGCTTTCACACCTGTGCTTTCACACCTGTGCTTTCACACCTGTATTTTCGCACCCCTGCTTTCACACCCCTGCTTTCACACCCCTGCTTTCACACCCCTGCTTTCACACCCCTGCTTTCACACCCCTGCTTTCACACCCCTGCTTTCACACCCCTGCTTTCACACCCCTGCTTTCGCACCCCTGCTTTCACACCCCTGCTTTCACACCCCTGCTTTCACACCCCTGCTTTCGCACCCCTGCTTTCACACCCCTGCTTTCGCACCCCTGCTTTCACACCCCTGCTTTCACACCCCTGCTTTCGCACCCTGCTTTCGCACCCCTGCTTTCACACCCTGCTTTCACAACCCCTGCTTTCGCACCCCTGCTTTCACACCCCTGCTTTCACACCCCTGCTTTCACACCCCTGCTTTCACACCCCTGCTTTCACACCCCTGCTTTCGCACCCCTGCTTTCACACCCCTGCTTTCGCACCCCTGCTTTCACACCTGTGCTTTCGCACCCCTGCTTTCACACCCCTGCTTTCACACCCCTGCTAAAACACCTCAAGGATGTGTATATCTGGTCACTATATTCTATCCTATACTACTGCTATTGTCTGTAAAAATCAAGCCAGGAAACAAGCCACTACATTTAACCCAGACATTAATGGGCAGCTGGGGCAAGATGTGCCCCACACGTCTCGCCCTACCCGGAAGACCCACCTAAAAGAATCATTAAGGTGATAATGTTATTTTTGTCAGACAAAAGTAAATCTCATTGTAAAATAAAGTTCCAGCTGACCAGTGTATAATGTCATCATTAAATGGAAGCTCCTGAGGAAGTACTCGAGACAAAGTGAAAGTCCTAGAGCTGTGTATTGATTATTTGCATAAGAGCCACGGTATGATGATCCATTTGTAGAGCATCCCAGCCATCAGCAGTGTAAATATTATTAGTACATCTAGCATTATATTCTTTCACATCATGATTAATAATGAAATAATGAACAGTATGATGATAAGGATGATGCACCAAACACTGTATTACATTCTAACTCTCCATATGGACAATATCTTCTAAAATGAACCTAATATACACGAAGGAATCATCAAGGCAGGAGTATATTGATACTTTGATAAGTATACTATGGTAAGTATACCGTGACAAGTACACTATCATGCCAGGAGTATATTTAATAGCCATGAGGCCGCATACACACTTTTTCTATACGAGAAACACCTGTGGGTCTGGAAGCCTCTTGTATGCTGACTTAGCACCGCTGCTTCTTGACACTTGTTCCATCTGCACCTGTTTGCAACTGTGCTTAACACCTGTTGTGTCCACACATATGTTTATGGAAGCTTGGAAGCGTTTGTGGCACTCCAACTGGCAGCACAATGGCACTGTTGATACTAATTTCCACTTCTTAATAACGTATTTAACTCACTAATGCCTCAATTTATATAAAAAAATCTATGCATATATTCCCTTTACGTCTATAAATTGTATAATTATGAAAGAAAAAAATATTTAGTTATATTTAATTAAAATTATAGTATGATATAATCATTACAGATAACATTAATATAATTTCATTTAGATAATTTATAAGCATCTACGAGTTAGATATAAAAATGAATTATTTTTTTATATTTTCAAGACTAGGAAATATTTTTCAAGACTATAACGTATAGTTTGTAAATTGTGATTCCCATACTTATAATACTTATACACCATAAACGCAGTATGATCATACAGAGTATAAACACCGAGAGTTGTGTTTCTCTCAGTGTATACAAGCTGAGTTTAATCACGACTTCAGAGATTAAAGGTTTTTTTTTTTTTTGGTGGCGAGAAGGTTGGCCTGAAGCCTCGTGTAGTCGACAGGCTTTAAACCTCAATAACTATGCTTATACAAGAGATCATAAAGGATATCTCTTGCTGCCTTTCCAGGATGTAGATGTATAAGAGGAAGAATCTCTGTAGGATGTAGGAATATCTACTTTCAGATACTCCAGAATGATGTCCGAAATACTGAGTGGTCTGCATTATGGACCTCATATACAAGTCTGAATAAGTCTGAGTGGCTAATCTAGTATCTGATTTTTATCTCACTTTCTCACTTGGATATATAAATATATATCAGATTATTTAATATACACTTGTTTAATATTACCCACTAATTGTTCAAAGGAATTAGCTAATTAAGAATATATATAAGAAGGTATAGTCAGCTGGTTACCGTTGGTGAGAAAGAGGCTGTTGGTGGTTCTGTTGATGGGTCTCCTGGTTCTGTTGCTGATGAGACAATGGGTGTGAGTCTGGCAAAGGGGATATAGTGTGTTGGATGCCATGATCCTTCACTCCATTAGCCTGGTGTGGATTATGAGGAGAGTGCTGATCTTCGAGCCATGCTGCAGCCCAGGATGACTATTGTGAGGGGCTAGTAGAGGATTGGTACTATCTGCAGCATAGGCTTTATCACCCATACTACCGTAGAAGGCAGAGGTGGATTCGTAGACGGCACTCTGGTCAGTGTAGAGGGCACTGCCTTCGTTATACTGAGGCTCACTCTCCTCTTCCTCATCAATGGGCCCCTGGTACACTGAACTCCCCCCATACATATCAGGCAAGCGCCCTGGGCTGTAGTCCTGAGGTAGACGTGGTGCTCCAGGAGCCCCCATGATCCGTGATCCACTCAGCCCCTGCAGTCCCTGTAGGCCAGGGAGAGGATCCTTAGGATCTCTCCTGAGAGATGGTGTCCCAGGCATCATCTCTATAGGAGGAGATAGTGTCTCTCCGCCCACGTCAAAGTCTCCAGTATTGACGCCTCTCTTTCCTATAGAGGGACTTGGCTTTCTCTTATTAAGATGTCGAGGCAGCGATCCTGTTGATGGAATCTGAAAAAAAGTGTGAAAACATGATTACTTTTTCATAATAACTCCAGAAATAATTACTCAAAAACGCGTCGTTCAGCGTACAGGCACTGTACTTCCTACCTCCAGAGCTGTAACATTCTCTCCCATCTTTCAGAGTGAAGGCACTGTACTTCCCACCTCCAGAGCTGTAACATTCTCTCTCATCTTTCAGAGTGAAGGCACTGTACTTCCTACCTCCAGAGCTGTAACATTCTCTCTCATCTTTCAGAGTGAAGGCACTGTACTTCCCACCTCCAGAGCTGTAACATCCTCTCTCATCTTTCAGAGTGAAGGCACTGTACTTCCCACCTCCAGAGCTGTAACATCCTCTCTCATCTTTCAGAGTGAAGGCACTGTACTTCCTACCTCCAGAGCTGTAACATTCTCTCTCATCTTTCAGAGTGAAGGCACTGTACTTCCCACCTCCAGAGCTGTAACATTCTCTCCCATCTTTCAGAGTGAAGGCACTGTACTTCCCACCTCCAGAGCTGTAACATTCTCTCTCATCTTTCAGAGTGAAGGCACTGTACTTCCCACCTCCAGAGCTGTAACATTCTCTCTCATCTTTCAGAGTGAAGGCACTGTACTTCCCACCTCCAGAGCTGTAACATTCTCTCTCATCTTTCAGAGTGAAGGCACTGTACTTCCCACCTCCAGAGCTGTAACATTCTCTCTCATCTTTCAGAGTGAAGGCACTGTACTTCCACCTCCAGAGCTGTAACATTCCTCTCTCATCTTTCAGAGTGAAGGCACTGACTTCCACCTCCAGAGCTAGTAAAATCCTCTCTCATCTTTCAGAGTGAAGGCACTGCACTTCCCACCTCCAGAGCTGTAACATCCTCTCAATCTTTCAGAGTGAAGGCACTGCACTTCCCACCTCCAGAGCTGTAACATCCTCTCCCATCTTTCAGAGTGCAGGCACTGCACTTCCCACCTCCAGAGCTGTAACATCCTCTCCCATCTTTCAGAGTGAAAGCACTATACTTCCCACCTCCAGAGCTGTAACATCCTCACCCATCTTTCAGACTGAAGGCACCGTACTTCCCACCTCCGGGACTGTGACATCCTCTCCCATCTTTCAGAATGCCGTCAATGCACTTCCTTCCTCTAGGACTGTAACATCCTCACCCATCTTTCAGAGTGCAGGCATTTTACTTCCCACCTCCAAAACTGCAACTTCTCACATTTTCATATGCAGGCACTAGTACTGTGCCTCACCCACAACTTAACATCCTCTCTCATCTTTCAGAGTACGTACAGGCACTGTACTTCCACCTCCAGAACTGTAACATCCCATCATCCTTCAGAGTGATAGGAACTGGCTTTCCCACCTCCAGAGACTAAACATCCTGCCCTATCTTTCAGAGCAGGCAGAGGAGATAAGATCAGACACTCAGAGTGTAATCTCCGCTCTGGAGCACTGCAATGTCATCCAGAGTGAATTCGCATCTCAGAGGAAAGCACAATCCCAAGACTTAAGATCTCAATTAGAGAAGGACGTTGATCGAATCGGATGTACATCCTCTCCCATCTTTCAGAATGCCGTCAATGCACTTCCTTCCTCTAGGACTGTAACATCCTCACCCATCTTTCAGAGTGCAGGCATTTTACTTCCCACCTCCAAAACTGCAACTTCACACATTCTTCATAATGCAGGCACTATACTTCGTGCCTCAACAACAATAACATCCTCATGCATCCTTCAGAGTACAGGCACTGTACTTTCCACCTCCAGAACTGTAACATCCCAATCATCCTTCAGAGTGTAGGAACTGTACTTTCCATCTCCAGGACTGGAACATCCTCGCCCATCCTTCAGAATGCAGGCAGGAGGAGATAAAGATCAGATCACGTCACGAGTGTTCTGACGTCTGGAGCACTGGACAAATGCATGATAAAGGAAGGCATCCAGAGAGACAAAGCCAAGACTAAGATTCATATTAGGAAAGTTGTGGAGATGTGATGCTTCAACAAGATGGCGTCTGTGAAGGCTAGAGGACAGAAACATCTTCCGAACCGTCGCCATAAGCCTCGTTCTCCTGCATGTGGGTTATTTGTATATGATGTTGGTGCTAGCCGCAAGAAGTCCAGTGTAAGCACCACAGCCTGGCTGATCAGGAATTGGCTTGAGAAATTTGTCCAGATCCTTCTTGACGACAGTCAGGGGTCTGTGGTAATCCTCTTAATACCTTTGATGGGTTTCCAGAGTTTATCTACTCTCGCAGGCCGATTCTGGGCCAGGCCTGTTTGGTATTTGCCTGATCAACTAGGCTGTTGCTGCTGGTCACACTCTGGCCCACATACCTGTCACAGCCTGGTTAATCTGGTACTTGGTGTAGGAAACTGTCCAGTTTCCACTTGAAGATTTCTGTACTTGTTCCAGCAGTTTTTGTCATATATTATAAACATGTTCAAGCAGTGTTTCTGATATATTCTGGTAAGATGCTGAACAGTCTGGGACCATGAATGTTGATATAGTGTTTCCTTATTGTGCCCACTGTACCCCTTCTTTTCACTGAGTTCATTTTACACTTCCTCCCATATCTCTAACTCTGGTATGTTGTTATTTAAGTGTAAAGGATTGGGACAAGGCCCTCCAGTGAGTACATATTTAGAATTTTGAGGTGTTTTAAAAAAATTGAACAGAGCTGTCAACACTGAACAATACTCTAAGCAAGAGAGCACAAGTGATTTGAAAAGTGTCAACACTGGCACTGTTTCCATTATTTTGAAGGTTCTCATTATTCACCCCATAATTTTTCTGGTTGTCGTCACATTTGCCGTATTGAGTTCTTTGAAAGGTCACCTGGAGAGAGAGGTCAGCTGACATTATTATACTCCGATCTCTCACTCATTCTTTTCATTCTATTTGATGTTCTTGTGTTTTGTATAGTGTTGTCAGCCTTTGAGTTCATTCTTTTCTTATCTCAGCAGTTGGAACCTGTTGCCAATGAATATCATGTTATTCTCCACTGTCGATTATAAGACATGGTGTATGTCTTCCTGCAATTTTTCAGTATCTTCCACCGAGATGATTTTCATGTTTGTGATTTTAACTGCAAATGATGAACCAAAACTGTCGTGAGCGTTTTTATCCGTGTTGTCTGTGACGATGAAGAAAAAACAGTAAAGGTGCCAGGACAGTGCCTTGGAGCACTGAACTTTTCACTTTCTTAATTGTGGATTTTGCTGTTTACAGTACTGTCACTCTGTGGTCTAGCTGCCAGAAACTTGAATATGCATTTGCCCACTTTTTCCAATTATGCCTAACTCCCTCATTTTGTGTGTGCAGTCACCCCATAATCACATCTGTCAAATACTTTTGCAAAATCTTTGTAGACCACATCTGTGTTGTCGTTTTCTTGCAACGCCTCTGTAATTTTGTCACAGTGGTTTAGTAGCTGTGGCAAAGAGAGGAAAGAAAGGTTGTGGGTAGACAACAAAGGCAATGTGGACTGACTACTTTTGGCGTGTTTTACCAAAATGATTTTTGGCACACAGTGACAAACAAATTATGTTTCTCATGTGGGTAATACCTGTCATCATACAGGTCAATAATCAAGGCTAATGGGTTAGTTTCGATTTTTCTAATGTTATTTTGAATGAGAGATAACAGGATGTTTTATTAGGAACCCAGAGCAAGACATAATATGGGAGTCTGTCTGACCTACCTGACACGTGAGAGCCCTGTTTGCCATGGATATGAGGATTTGTCAGACGTACCTGGTGCACGATAGCCTTGTTAACCATGTCCTACGTGACAGGAGAAAGCCCAGTTGACCATGGATATGGAGCCTATCAGACCTACCTGGAGCCCAAGAGCCCTGTTGACCATGGATATGGAGACTCTCAGACCTACCTGACGTCCAAAAGCCCTGTTGACCATGGATATGAAGCCTGTCAGACCTCCCGCACGCCCAAGAGCTCTATTGACCATGGATATGAAGACTGTCAGACCTACCTGGAGCCCAAGAGCCCTGTTGACCATGGATATGGAGTCTCTCAGACCTACCTGACGTCCAAAAGCCCTGTTGACCATGGATATGAAGCCTGTCAGACCTCCCTGAGGCCCAAGAGCCCTGTTGACCATGGATATGAAGACTGTCAGACCTACCTGGAGCCCAAGAGCCCAGTTGACCATGGATATGGAGGCTTCAGACCTACCTGACGTCCAAAAGCCCTGTTGACCATGGATATGAAGCCTGTCAGACCTCCCTGAGGCCCAAGAGCCCTGTTGACCATGGATATGAAGACTGTCAGACCTCCCTGAGGCCCAAGAGCCCTGTTGACCATGGATATGAAGCCTGTCAGACCTCCCTGACGCCCAAGAGCTCTGTTGACCATGGATATGAAGCCTGTCAGACCTCCCTGACGCCCAAGAGCCCTGTTGACCATGGATATGAAGGCTGTCAGACTTACCTGGAGCCCAAGAACCCTGTTGACCATGGATATGGAGTCTGTCAGACCTACCTGACGCCCAAGAGCCCTGTTGACCATAGGTGACTGGTGCCTCCACTGCTGGGGAAACTGGGCAAGACCAGGTGTACTGCTGTACTGCTGCAAATGGTCAGGAGGAGGATTCTCTGGTAGAGGCGGAGGGGCATACTGCTCCCACGGAGGTATATAACCCCTCTGTACCATACCATGAGGCTGTAAAAAGATAACAGGATGTTAGGACTTCTTTTTTTTTTTTTAATCTTTCATGCAAGATAAATTTATTATATACAGCATTACTGTTGTTGTTATAGTTTGTTTTCGTTGTTGAAGATTTTGTTTCGGCTGTCATTGTTGATTTTGTTATTCTTGTTTTCCCTGCTATTGTTGTTGCTATTAATTAGCTTGTTATCGGTGATTTCCTGTTGATTCTGTTCCTGTTTCTTCATACCACCTCCTGTTTGTGTACTAGCTCAACAAGCTTGTTGAGCAAGTACACAAACAGGGAGTGGAATGAAATTAGCTCAGAGGCGTCCACACCACCGTATGTCCTTCGATGGCGGGTACAGCATCTAGCTTGGCTAGATGCACCATTGTTAAGGATTGTGTGGTCTAGTGGTCTAAAGCGTCATGTGTTTTCTCTCAAAATGAGGCGCGCCAAAACAGCATGGGTTCCACTTCTTGGCTGGTGCAGTGTTGTATATATTTATGTATATATAAAATAATATATATATATATATATATTATATATATATATATATATATATATATATATATATATATAATATATATAATTGCAGTGAGAAATCCTAAGTCGAATCATAGCTCCTGGTCCCGCCTATTCACTAGTCGCTATTAGGTCCACTTCCTCTTTCATGGGCTTTATTATACCTCTTCTTAAAGCTATGAATGGATCCTGACTCCACTACATCACTCTCCAGATTGTTCCACTTCCTGACAACTCTATGCCCGAAGAAATACTTCCTAAGATGCCTGTGACTCATTTGAATTTTCAACTTCTAGTTGTGACCTCCTGTTGCCGTGTTACATCTCTGAAACACTCTGTTCCTGTCCACCCAGTCAATTCCTCTCAGTGTTGTCTGGTTGAGTTCCTTTAACCTCTCCTTGTAGGACAAACCCCTCAGCTCCGGGACTACTCTTGCTGCAAACCTTTGCACTTTCTCTAATTTCCTGACATGCTTGACTAGGTGTGGGTTCCATACTGGTGCTGCATACTCCAATATGGGCCTGATGTACACGATGTCCAGTGTCGTGAATGACTCCTTACTTAGATGTTGAAACGCTATTCTCAGGTTTGCTAGGCGCCCATATGCTGCGGCAGTTATTTGGTTGATGTGCCCCTCAGGAGATGTGCACGTTATGGTGCTTACCCCAACCCTTTGACTTCTTTGGCTGTACTCAGTCCGCATTCTCCTTTGTCCTTCCCCAATCTTCATAAATTTGCACTTGCTGGGGTTAAACTTCAGGAGCCATTTGTCAGACCAGATTTGAAGCCTGTTCAGATCCTTTTGTATGCTTACCTGATCCTCTTCCGATTGTATTCTCCTAATTAGCTTCATATCGTCTGCAAACAGCGACACTTCTGACTCTACCCCTTCCGTCAAATCATTCATATATACAGGAAACTGCACCGGACCTACGACTGACTCTTGTGGAACCCCACTCGACACATATACTCACTCTGATACCTCGTCTCGGAATGACACAAGTTGTTTCCTTCATGTCAGGTGTTCCCTGTGTGTGTGTGTGTACTCACCTAGTTGTGGTTGCAGGGGTCGATTCACAGCTCCCGGCTTCGCCTCTTCACTGGTCGCTACTAGGTCACTCTCCCTGCTCCATGAGCTTTATCATACGTCTTCTTAAAGCTATGTCTGGATCTTCATCCACTACATCATTTCCCAGACTATTCCACTTCCTAACAACTCCGTGATCGAAGAAATACTTCCTAACATCCCTGTGATTCATCTGTTGCTGTGTTCCAACTCTGGACGTCCTGTCTTTGTCCACCTCATCGATTCCTCTCAGTATTTTATATTTCGTTACCATATCCCCTCTATCTCTCCTGTACTCCAGTGTCGTTAGGTCGATTTCCCTTAACCTCTCCTCGTAGGACATGCCCCTTAGCTCCTGGGCTAGTCTTGTTGCAAACCTTTGCACTTTCTCTAATTTCCTCACATGCTTGGCTAGGTGTGGGTTCCTAACTGGTGCTGCATACTCCAATACTTATAGGCCTGACATACACGGTGTACAGGGTCCTGAACGATTCCTTATCGAGATGTCAGAATGCTATTCTTAGGTATGCTAGGCGCCCATATGCTGCAGCAGTTATCTGGATGATGTGCGCCTCAGGAGATGTGCCCGGTGTTATACTCACCCCAAGATCTTTTTCCTTGAGTGAGATTTGTAGTATCTGGCCCCCCTAGACTGAACTCCATCTGTGGTGTTCTTTGCCCTTCCCCAATCTTCATAACTTTGCACTTGGTGGGGTTGAGCTCCAGGAGCCAGTTTCTGGACCAGGCTTGCAGCCTGTCCAGATCCCTTCATAGTTCCGCCTGATCCTCGTCCAATTGAATTCTTCTCATCAACTTCATATCATCTGCAAACAGGGACACTTCTGAGTCTATTCCTTCCATCATGTCGTTCACATACACTAGAAACATCACCGGTCCTAGGACTGACCCTTGTGGAACCCCGCTTGTCACAGGTGCTCATTCTGCACCTCCTCACGTACCATGACTCGCTGATGTCTTCCCAACAGATATTCTCTGATCCACTGTAGTGTCTTCCCTGTTATACCTACCTGGTCTTCCAGCTTATGCACTAATCTCTTGTGTGGAACTGTGTCAAAGCCTTTTTCCAGTCCAAGAAAATGCATTCTACCCACCCCAATCTCTCTTGTCTTACTCCTGTCATAAAACTCCAGTACCTTATATACCTTTATCTTTGAAGAGTTTTGAGAGTTAATCTACTCTCTGACCCCGGCCATGGGCCAGGCTCGTCTGGTGCTTGCCTGGTAGATTTGTGACACAGGATTTCCCATCCCTGAAACCGTGCTGGCTGTCGTTGATAAGCTCATTCCTTTCTGTGTGCTCCACCACTCTTCTGATAATCTTCTAAATGACTTTGCATACTATACATTTTAGTGACACTGGCCTGTAGTTTAGTGCTTCGTGTCTGTCTTCTTTTTTAAAAACTGGGACTACATTTACTGTCTTCCATACCTAAAGTAGTCGCCCTGCTTTGATAGATGTGATGAAGATTGAAAGTGGTACACATAGTGCATCTGCTCCCTCCCTCAGGACCCATGGAGAGATGTTTTCCAGCCCCATCGCCTTTGAGGTATCTAGCTCGCTTAGCAGCCTCTTTACTTCTTCCTCGATTGTATGTATTGTGTCCAACACTTGATGATGTACCCCACCTCTCCATCTTTCTGGAGTACTTTCTGTCTCTTCTGTGAACACTTTGAATCTCATGTTGAGTTCCTCACATACTTCTCGGTCGTTGCTTGTAATCTCCCCTCCTTCCTTCCTCAACCTGATTACTGGTCCTTGACTATTGTTTTCCTCCTGATGTGGCTGTACAACAGCTTCAGATCAGATTTAACTTTTGCTGCAATGCCATTTCCGTATTATTGATGGGCCTCCCTTCTTACCTGTGCATATTCATTTCTGGCTCTACAACTGCTCTCCTTATTCTCCTGGGTCCTTTGCCTTCTATACTTCCTTTCTCTAGCACACTCGGTATTGGCCTCCCTACACCTTGGAGTGAATCATGGGTTCATCCTGGCCTTCTTATTCCTGTTACCCTTGGGTATAAACCTCTCCTCAGCTTCCTTGCATACTGTTGTCACATATTCCATCATGTCATTTACTGACTTCCCTGCCAGTGCTCTGTCCCACTGAACCTCGTGCAGGAAATTCATCATGCCTCTGTACTTCCCTCTCTTGTAGTCTGGTTTCATTTGTCCTACCCTTGGTGCTTCCCTCTCTACCTGTAACGGTATTGTGTATTCGAGGCTCAGAACCACATGGTCAATGGCGCTGACAGGTCTTTCATGTGTGATGTCCTCAATATCAGCAATACTCAAGGTAAATACTAGGTCCAGTCTTGCCGGTACATCCTCTCCTCTTCCAGTACCACCTCCATTTTAGCCCTCCATGTTTCTGGGCACCCATGTGGCTCCAAGTTCTTCTAGTCAATTTCTTTGTAGCTGAAGTCACCCACAATCAGTAACTTTGCCCTGCTCACATGAGCCCTTCTGGCCACTTCAGCCAGTGTGTCAACCAACGCTCTGTTATTCTCATCATACTCCTACCTTGGCCTCCTGCTGTTCTGTGGTGGGTGATACATCACTGAGATTTCCACTTTGGGACCTCCAGTACTCCTATTATGTAGTCTCTTGCTTCACCTCTGCCTCCTCTCTCCAGCTCATCAAAATACCATTGGCTTTTGATGAGCAATGCCACTCCTCCACCCCCTCTGTCCTTCCTCAGGATCTGATATCCCATTGGAAAGATGGCATCTGTTATCATTCCTGTGAGCTTGGTTTCGGTGAGAGCTATGATGTCCAGTGATGTCTCTTTGATTCGTTTGTGCCACTCCTCCCACTTATTCATTATTCCATCAGCGTTGGTATACCATACCTTCAGTTTCCTCTCCAACACTGTGTTGGGGGGTCTGTGGGGGTGGGGACCCTGGCAGAGTACTATGAGATTCTACAACATTTTGTGGGGTGGGGGCTGTAAGTGTGGATTGTGGTTTGTGTTGGGATAGCATGTTTGGCTGTGGGGTTCTGATGGTGGTTCTGTGTGCTTGCGCTTGTTGCTCTTCCCGGCTCTGGTTGTTCTCTGTGGACTCTGTCCTTGTCTCTCTTCCTAACCTCTTTCACTTCTGTCTTTTGCCTCAGTTGTTGTCATCCACTTCTTGTTCTGTCATGGTCCTTCAGCCGTGGTTTCTCTTGCAGGAACCTCTTGTGCAACATTTCTTCCTTGAAAATCAGTTTGGCCAATTTCTCCCCTTATTCTCTGAAAACTTACTATATCCTCCTCACCTATTTCTTCGATGTTTTCTATCTCCTGTGTTTCTTTCTCCCATCTTTCATTATGTGTCCTCCCTTCACTCTCCTGAAGCCCATGAATAAACACTGACTTCTCCCTCTCCTCCTTCCATTGCCTTTACCTCTGTGTCACTGGGTCCTGTTTGTACATATCCAGTCTTCCTTATTTTTCCTGTAACTCTTGACATGGTTGTGCTCTGTATGGGATTTCACCTGTCTTACTTCTATCCCACTCACTTGGTATACTTCTTCTTAAATCAGCTCTCCCTCCGCTACATATCCTCCCACTTGTCTTGGATGGTTTAGGGCTCCTAATTTCTTGTCTCCTTCTTTCATTGGGTCCTCCTCATTTAAGTATGGATAACACTGCTTTCCGTCCTTCATGCTTACCTCTGGCAAATAGCCTGTTACATCCAGTATATTTACCTCTAACTCTAGGCATGGTGGCTCGTTGGCTTGTCACTTCTCACCTTGACTCCCCATTTCTCTTCTCGCTCTCCTCCTCATTCTCTTTTGCAGGTAGGCTCACCATAGTTTGTCTCCTTTCTTTTTCCATTCTCCTATTTAATATGAGTTCATCGATTGTTCCATTCCAGTCTTCCTCTGGAAATACCCTGATCCTTGATTACCTCCTGACACATGTTTCGTGTTCTGAGCTTCAGCTGTGACCCTGTTCTTCTCTGCCACTATCCTGCTTCTGTCTTTTTGCAGCACTCCCCTATTCCTCCCAATCTGTCATCATTTTAACCTGATTTCAACATGTTCTAAAACCTTTTTAGAGTCGATTCCCCTGACACCTGTTTTTTTGTTGCAGTGGTGAGGTGCCGTTTGTACTGTTGTCTTTTACATACGCACCAAGTATCGTCAACTGTCTTAATGCCTGTTTTTCACATACATACACCATAAGAGTTCAACTACTGTCTTGCACGCTGGTGAGAGATAAGCTGGTTTTCATGAAGTCGTACACTAAGTTATCTCAGCTGCCCTGTGTGAATCACCAATAATACTGACCATGTCACTGGAGTTGGCTCACTTCTCACCTGTGTGAGAGATAACAAGGTTATCATGAGCCTGGTTCACTAGTGTTATCACCATAACTCTGTGAGAAAATAACAATGTTATCATGAAGCTGGTCCACTTGTGTTATCACCATTACCCTGTGTGAAAGATAACAATGTTATCATAAAGTTATTCCACTAGTGTTATCACCATCACCCTGTGTGAAAGATAACGATGTTATCATGAAGCTGGTCCACTAGTGTTATCACCATCACCCTGTGTGAAAGATAACGATGTTATCATGAAGCTGGTCCACTAGTGTTATCACCATCACCCTGTGTGAAAGATAACGATGTTATCATGAAGCTGGTCCACTAGTGTTATCACCATCACCCTGTGTGAAAGATAACGATGTTATCATGAAGCTGGTCCACTAGTGTTATCACCATAACACCATAAGAGAGATAACAAGTTTATCCTTCTACTAGTCTTATCATCATACTGTTATCACATTGTCAGCAAAAAAGCTCAATGTTATGATAAGCCAAGATAACCTAATATAACCTGACTGTAACTGCACTTCCTGTAGAACTGCAGCTCCACCCCAGGGGTACCTGGGTACAAAAATTGGGGTACTAGGGTACAAAAAGAGGGTACTTGGGTACAAAATTGGGGTACTAGGGTACAAAGGGGGTAAAAGGGTACAAAGCAGAGGTACTAGGGTACAAAATATGGTACTAGGGTACAAAATAAAGGTACTAGGATACAAAATAAAGGTACTAGGGTACAAAATAGGGCACTAGGGTACAAAATAGGGCACTAGGGTACAAAATAGGGCACTAGGGTACAAAATAGGGATACTAGGATACAAAATAAAGAAACTAGGTTATACAGTAGAGGTACTAGGGAACACAGGGTTACTAGGGTATACGATAGAAGTACTAGGGTACACAATAGGGGTACTAGGATACAAAATAGGGGCATTAGGATACACATTAGAGGTACTAGGATACACAATAGGAGTACTAGGGTGCACAATAGAGGTACTGGGGTGCACAATATGGGTACTAGAGTGCACAATAGGAGTACTAGTACAATAAGGTTACTAGGATGCACAGGGTTTCTAGAATTTACAACAGGTACTAGAGTACAAAATTTGGTTACTAGGGTACACAACAGTGGTATCAGGATTCAAAATAGGAGTACTGAAAAGGGATACTAGGTTACACAGTAGGGGTACTAGGTGTCCTAGGATTCCTAGGAGTCCTAGATAAGGGTGCCAAGGTACTACTTACATTCCTGCCAGAGATGATATTAGTGGTGGCATATGCTAGGGGAGTGCCTGGAGGCTGTGGCACTGGAGGCATGAGGGGTGCCACAGTGCCCTCTATCTCAGCGTAATCGCCGGGAGTGGCACTCAGGTTGAGAAGTTTCTCAGGAGTGCCAGCGTGCTTGTCCTCACCAGTGCCTGAGGAAGCACCCCAGGGTCCCCTCTCGATCCACAGTCCTCCACACATGGTGCCATTCATGGTGCGGCCCTCCATCTTGTACCCTGCAGTGTGAGTGCAACATATATGGTTTTCCAGTAAATGAGAAAAACAGTCGAATTCTGCGAGAAAATTAGGGAAAATTGGAAGAGGTAAAAGAGCATTACAGAAAACGCGGCTCGTGTGGATGAGAGAAAACGTGACCAATCAGACGCACGGGAGACTATCCTATTGTTACCAAACTGATAACATTTTCTATTTTGCGTGCATCAGTCGTCTTTATTATTATAATCCTATAAATGGTGGTCTGATGCGATGAGTGATGAAAATAGCTATAATTCCTTGAATAAAAGAGCTTTAGAGACATTGTTACATATTTTTAAAGGGTGACAATAAGAGTGTAAAGAGGTTGACTAGGCACTTCTCACCTCCCATGGCCCTCTTCTTGAATCATGAACCCTCAGAAGCATCAAAATACTTCTTGAATAGGTGCTAGTAAAGAGGTACCCTAGGCACTCCTCCAATTTAGGTGTCTCAAGTTGATATTTCCCAGTAATAAGAAGTTTGGGGCAGGAGTTGGGAGATTTTCCGGACAGTTGTCAATTTTCCAAAGCTGCTCCAGGAATTGCTGGGAAATTGACGTCCTTACGTGAATCAAGGACACTCAAAAACATCAAAACACCTCTTGAACAGGTGCCAGTAAAGAGGTGCCCTAGGCAGTAGGGTACGTCTTTACGTGAATCAAGAACCCTCAGAAATATGAAAACACTTCTTGAATAGGTGCCAGTAAGAAGGCAAAGAGGTGCCTTAGGCGCTACTCACCTCCCATGGCTCTCTTCTCGTTCCTCTTGCGACGGTAGCAGACCACTGCCACGAAGACCGAGAGTGCCACGAAGCCAGCGGCACCCACAGCACCGATGAACCACGTCTCCCTCAACACTGCCATCAGTGGGGATGGCACCCTGCGGGCCTCGTCAGAGCCCACAGTGGCCAAGGGGTCCTGAAGCCACGTGTGGCCCCCGCTAGAGGGTCCCTCACCAGCTCTGGCAACACAACGAGAGAGGAAATTATAAGAGACACTGAATACAGCATTTTACTATCTACATACCCACTAAGTGAAGGTTAAGAATGAAAGTGAATGTTCAGACGAGCAACATGTTAAAACATGTATAACTCTCATTAAAATTACTAAAAACACATCTCGTCCTCCAAGAGCTTTATATAGTTTGATAAAGTTCCTAGAGAGCGAAACATCTCTGTCATAAATGCATCATTAACTGTTTTCCTATTCTATTCAGGTGGTTGAAAAGACACAGGATAGTGTGTGTGGTTGGTCCACAGGATAGTCTAGCTGATCCACAGGGTAGTGTGACTAGGCCACAGGATAGCCTAGCTGGTCCACAGGATACACACACTATTTTTAACTAAACCACTGTATTACTCAATAAACAGGATAGTGAAGCATAGTATAGAACACAGTAGAGGGATTACTCACTTAGTGTGGGCAGCCACCGTAGCGGTAAACAGTACACCGTAGGTGAGGTTGTGAAGGGTGAGGCTGTGGAGGTTCCCTTCCACCGTGAGGTTGGAATGAGGCTGCGTCTTGTTACTGAAGAGCCGGATAGAGTAGCGGATGATCCGGCCGTTGGTATGGGCTCTGGCTGGTGGTAGCCAGGACAGTACCACACTCGTTCTGTTAAGTACCAGGGACTCCACTCCTGACGGTGGCGCTGACGGTACTGGAGGGAGATACGAGGTATCTAGTGGTTATGAAGGTATATATATACACTGGAAGATATATGTATCTCTGTGTATATACACTGGGAGGTAAGTCTCTCTGTATATATTCTGGTAGGCTTATGTCTCAGTGTGTGTGTATATACGGTGAGACGTTAATGTCTCAGTGTATATATACTGAGAGGTGTATGTCTCTCAGTGCATATATACCGTGAGGTCTATGTTTCTGAACATACTCAGAAAGGTGTATGTCTCAGTGTATATACACTGAGAGACATACACCTATTAGGTATTAGGTATTTGAGTATTCTTGACTCTTGGTGCACAGGTGACATGCAGCCTTAATGATCATCGTGTAGTAGATAGATTTGATTATTATTATAATCAAGGGGGAAGCGCTAAACCCGGAGGATTATACAGCGCCTGGGGGGGGGGATGTGGAAGGCATTCAGGCTTAATTCGGGGAACTGGAGCACAGATCCAATTCCCTAAATCAAGAGCCCCTCACCAACATCAAGGAACCTTCCTTGAGGGGAGATAGATTTGAAACCTAACACACCAACCATCGTGTAATAACACTTGAAACCTAATTAACCAAACTTCACGCACTGTGTCACCATGTATCTTTATGTATCATTGTAACTATAGTTGTGTCACTAGGTATCACTATACATCACATTACATCATGTATTACTTATGTCATTATGTATCAATATGTATCAACATGTCGCAGTATGTATCGTTATGTATAACAATATATCACTATGTATCACTTCATATCACCAGGTATCACTCATATATCACTATGTGTCAATATCACTATCACCAAGTATCACTGTCAGTCACTATGTATCACCATACATCACTCTCACTATGTATTACCATGTATTATGAATCACCAGGCATCACTGTCACTATGTATCACCATGTATTATGCATCAGGCATCAATGTCACTATGTATCACAATCACCATGTGCCACTATGTATCACTGTATTACCAAGTGTCACTATGTATCACTGTATTACTATATGTCACTATGCATCACTGTATTACCATATGTCACTATGTATCATTATACATTATTGTGTCACTTGGATCACGATATATCAATATGTATCGCCATACATTACTGTGTTACTTGCATCACCATGTGTCCCTATGTATCAAAATACATCACTATGTATCACCACGCATCAATGTCACTATGCATCGCCGTACATCACAATGTACCAATCTGTATCACCATGTATCACTATGTATCCTCAAATCATTAAATATCATGTATCACTATGTATACTCCAGGTATCTCAAAAGTAACCTGCAATTCTGGCAGTAAAAACGGTGAACCAAGTCATTGTGGTTGTATATAAGACGCCGGATACACAGACCAACAGGTGGACACTGGGGACAAGTGGGAATAAAGTCACTTGATAAAGCCCAGGGTTGGGCGAAACGTGCTGGCAGTGGCTTCACTTCCACAACTTCCCAAAAGTTTAAAAGTCAACTGTCGAAAATTGAGCACCGCCTGTATAGTCTTCCAATAATCTCCCCAGCATACACAAGTGTCAGGGAACCAAGACTGATCAACTGCCTCCCAGCATATATAAGAGGAATTACCAATAGACCCCTGGCTGTCTTCAAGACCCCTGGTTGTCTTCAAGACCCCTGGTTGTCTTCAAGACCCCTGGCTGTCTTTAAGACCCCTGGCTGTCTTTAAGACCCATGGCTGTCTTCAAGACCCCTGGCTGTCTTCAAGACCCCTGGCTGTCTTCAAGGCCCCTGGCTGTCTTCAAGACCCCTGGCTGTCTTCAAGACCCTTGACTGTCTTCAAGACCCATGGCTGTCTTCAAGACCCTTGACACTCTTCAAGGAGCTGGACAGACACCTTAAGTCAGTACCTGACTAGCCGGGCTGTAGTTCCTACGTTGGATTGTAAGCGGCCAGCAGAAACAGCCTGTAGATGAATGGTTCAGAGAACCGACATGTTGATAAATTAGACACGTGTGCAACTCTTGGGTATCTTTACTGAGGAAACGTTTCGCCACACAGTGGCTTCATCAGTCCATACAAAGGAGAATCTTGAAGAACAGGAGGAGAATGAGGTAATCAGTCCCTCAACCTTGAGTCGATGTGGTCAGTCCATCAATCTTGAATAGAATACGGCATACGTGCGGAGAAGGAGCTTATAAACCTCAAAATGGTATACAATACCGACAGGTTGGTAGGTAAGACACATAGGCAACAGTTAGGCAACTTTATTCCGAAACGTTTCCCCTAACATAGGCTTTTTCATCAAAACAGAAAGAGGCGGGAACATAGAAAAGACATGTAACAGCTATCACCCTTAAAGCAAAGAATTTGGGGTTTGTCAGCCCTGGGCCTGGAAAGTTCATTCCAAGTCGGGAACTATCGAAGACAAGCGACAGTGCGGAGACTTAAATACTGTGGGAAAGGGAAAGGTGCAGATATAGTATAATGAAAAAGTAACCACTGAAGGTCAGGTCCTCTCAACCCAAACTTTCCCTCACTTGAAAAGTTTGTCCAAAGGGTTTTTCTGTACAAGTCTATTGTTGCAGTGTCTGACAAGATAACATCAAAGGTATACAATACCTACCAACCTGTGGGTATTGAACCTTTTTTGATTTCATCTGTCAGACACTGCAACACATAGAAATTTTGATACAAAAAACACCTTGAAAAAACTTTTAAAGGGAGAATTTTGGGATCTAAAGGGGGACCTGACCTTTCAGGGGTTACTTTCCACACACTACTATTTCCACCCTCCTTCCGACAGTTTTTAAATCCCGCACTGTCGCTTGATCTTCAGATAGTTCCTGACTATGGAACTGAACTTCTCCAGGCCGAGGGACTGACAACCTCAAATTCTATGACTTTAAGGGTGATGGACTGATTACATCGTCTTCTCTACTGTTCCTGCCTACTTTCTGTATTCGACTGAAGAAGCCTACTGTGTAGGCGAAACGTTTCGGAATAAAGTTGCCTAACTGTTGCCTATGTGTCTTACCTACCAACCAGCTTATAAACCGTTGGCAGGAGAGGTGCAGCAGACATAGGTCGTGTCACATTTGTTCAATGTGGAAGTAGGTCGTGCCCATGAATTAGGCAAGCGAAGAATTCCCATCGACTCAAGGTTGAGGGACTGATTACCTCATTCTCCTCCTGTTCTTCAAGATTCTCCTTTGTATGGACTGATAAAGCCACTGTGTGGCGAAACGTTTCCTCAGTAAAGATACCCAAGAGTTGCACACGTGTCTAATTTATCAGAAACAGCCTGGTTGCTCAGACCCTAATCCACCACGAGGCCTCGTCATGGACCAGGCCGCGGGGGCGTTGACCCCCAGAGTATTCTCCAGGTATACTCCGGGTAGGTAGACAAAAGTACACTAAAGGCACACTATAAGTCTATATTACAAAGGTACACTTCAAGTGAATATTACAGAGGTACACTACAAAGGTACGCTACAGAGGATGATTACAAAGACACACTACAAAGGTACGCTACAAAGATGCATTACAAAACACTACAAATGTACATTACAAAGGTACACTACAAATGTATGCTACAGATGTTCATTACAAAGGTACACTACAAAGGTACGATTAAAAACACTGCGAAGGTACACTACAAAGGTACAATACAAAGGTACATTAAAAAACACTACAAAGGTACACAAGAAAGCTAAATTACAAAAGTACACTACAGAGGTACATTACAAAGGTACTGACCATCTTCCTTGGTAGTAGCGATCCTGGAGTTGGACGGGTGACCGTGGATGTTTTTATGGTACGGTACGATGAAGAATTCGTACTGTGTGTACTTCTCCAGGTCGGTGAGGGTGTAGGCATCTGTCCCGGTGCCGACTCGGACCACCGTCTCCATGCGGAAGTGGTGGGTGCCGGAAGTGAGGTCCCGGTACCGGATGTAGAAGCCGTCCATGTAATCCGCGAACTCCTGTACCTGTGAGAGTGCGTGAGAGAGTGCGTGAGAGAGTGTGTGAGAGTGAGTGTGAGAGTGTGAGTGTGAGAGTGTGAGTGTGAGAGAGTGATTGTCTGTTAGTGTGAGTGTGAGAGAGTGAGTAAGTGTGAGAGAATGAGTGTGAGAGAGTGAGTGTCTGTGAGTGTAATTGTGAGAGAGTGAGTGTGAGAGTGTCAGAGAGTGAGTGTGAGAGAGTGAGTGCGAGAGTGAGTGCGAGAGTGTGAGAGAGTGAGTGTCAGAGAGTGAGTGTGAGAGTGAGTGCGAGAGTGTGAGAGAGTGAGTGTGAGTGTGAGAAAGTGTGAGTGTGAGAGTGAGAGTGTGAGTGTGAGAGTGAGTGTGAGTGTGAGAGAGTGTGTGAGAGACTGTGGTGTGTGTGAGAGTGCGAGAGTGAGTGTGAGTGTGAGAGTGAGTGCGAGAGAAAGTGAGAGTGAGAGAGTGAGTGTGAGGGTGAGAAAGTGTGAGAGTGAGAGTGTGAGTGTGAGAGAGTGAGTTTGAGTGTGTGAGAGAGTGAGTGTGAGTGTGAGACAGTGAGTGAGAGTGTGTGAGTGTGAGTGTGAGAGAGTGAGTGTGAGTGTGAGAGAATAAGAGAGTGAGAGTGTGAGATTGAGTGTGAGTGTGGGTGAGAGAGATTGTGAGTGTGAGAGTGAGTGTGAGTGTGAGAGAGTGAGAGTGTGAGAGAGTGAATGTGAGAGTGTGAGAAGTGTGAGTGTGAGAGTGTGTGAGTGAGTGTGAAAGTGTGAGTATGAGAGAGTCGGTGTGAGTGTGAGAGTGTGAGAGTGAGTGTGTGAGAGAGTGAGTGAGAGTGTGAGAGTGTGAGAGAGTGAGAGTGTGAGAATGTGAAAGAGTGCGAATGTGAGAGAGTAAAAGTGTGAGTGTGAGAGAGTATGAGAGTGAGACAGTGTGAGTGTGAGAGAGTGTGAGTGCGAGTGTGAGAGAGTAGTGTGTGTGTGTGTGAGAGTGAGTTTGAGTATGAGAGAGTAAGAGTATGAGAGAGTGTGAGTGTGAGAGTGTGAGAGAGTGTGAGTGCGAGTGTGAGAGAGTGAGTGTAAGTGTGAGAGCGAGTGTGAATGTGAGAGAGGAAGAGTGTTAGAGAGTGTGAGTGTGAGTGTGTGTGAGTGTGAGAGAGTGAGTGAGAGTGTGAAAGAGTGAGTGTGAGAGTGTGAGAGAGTGTGTGTGTGAGAGTGTGAGAGGGTGAGAGAGTGAGTGTGTGTGAGGGAGTGTGTGTGTGAGAGAGTATGTGTGAGATAGTGAGTGTGTGAGAGAGTGAGAGAGCATAAAGGAAGTGTATGCATCAATCAACAATGGGGGGGGGTTGCAAAGGACGTGTAGGTACAAGAGTTGTTGCACTCTCTGTAATCTGGGGAATGCATGTTCTGGTCGGCTTTAAACTTTTAGTGCTGATGTGTTTTCCTCTTCGTGTTTGTTGAAGGAAGTTTTAATTTCTCAGTTTTATTAATCAAACTGATTTGTGGGAAATTAATGGAGACTCTCTCTTCTCTGGCTTAAATAAGTCACGGTGTTGGACTTTACTGGGTTATTCTGGCTTAAATAAGTCACGGTGTTGGACTTTACTGGGTTATTCTGGCTTAAATAAGTCACGGTGTTGGACTTTACTGGGTTATTCTGGCTTAAATAAGTCACGGTGTTGGACTTTACTGGGTTTATTCTGGCTTAAATAAGTCACGGTGTTGGACTTTACTGGGTTATTCTGGCTTAAATAAGTCACGGTGTTGGACTTTACTGGGTTATTCTGGCTTTAAATAAGTCACGGTGTTGGACTTTACTGGGTTATTCTGGCTTAAATAAGTCACGGTGTTGGACTTTACTGGGTTATTCTGGCTTAAATAAGAACATAAGAACATAAGAAAGGAGGAACACTGCAGGAGGCCTGCTGGCCCATACTAGGCAAGTCCTTTACAATTCATCCCACTAACAAAACATTTGCCCAACCCAATTTTCAATGCCACCCAAGAAATAAGCTCTGATGTGAAAGTCCCACTCAAATCCAACCCCTCCCACTCATGTACTTATCCAACCTAGATTTGAAACTACCCAAAGTCCCAGCCTCAATAACCCAACTAGGTAGACTGTTCCACTCATCAACTACCCTATTTCCAAACCAATACTTTCCTATGTCCTTTCTAAATCTAAACTTATCTAATTTAATCCATTACTGCGGGTTCTCTCTTGGAGAGACATCCTCAAGACCTTATTAATATCCCTTTATTAATACCTATCTTCCACTTATACACTTCGATCAGGTCTCCCTCATTCTTCGTCTAACAAGTGAATGTAACTTAAGAGTCTTCAATCTTTCTTCATAAGGAAGAATTTCTAATGCTATGTATTAATTTAGTCATCCTACGCTGAATGTTTTTCTAACGAATTTATGTCCATTTTGTAATACGGAGACCAGAACTGAGCTGCATAATCTAGGTGAGGCCTTACTAATGATGTATAAAGCTGCAGTATGACCTCTGGACTTCTGTTGCTTACACTTCTTGATATAAATCCCAGTAATCTATTTGCCTTATTACGTACGCTTAGGCATTGCTGTCTTGGTTTAAGGTTGCTGCTCACCATAACCCCAAAGTCCTTTAGCAATCTGTATGGCTAAGTTCTACATCATTTAATTATAAGTACTAGGGTTATGGGCACTCCCGAGCTTCAGAACCTTGCATTTATCTACATTGAACTGCATCTGCCACTTTTCTGACCAAGAATAGAGTTTGTTTAAATCCTCCTGAAGTTCAAACATCTACGTTTGAATCAATTATCCTACCTACTTTGTGTCATCGGCGAATTTGCTCATATCACTAGTAATTCCCTCATCAAGATCATTGATTATATTATAAACAACAACGGGCCAAGACCGATCCCTGTGGAACGCCACTTGTTACAGATCCCACTCGGATTAACCCATTTATGGACACTCTCTGCTTCCTGTCAGTGAGCCATGACTCGATCCACGAGAGCACTTTTCCCCCAATGCCATGAGCTGCCACTTTCTTTAACAGTCTATGGTGCGGAACTCTATCAAAAGCCTACTAAAATCTAAGTAAATAATATCAAACTCTTTATTGTGGTCAACAGCCTCAAAAGCTTTACTGAAGAAAGTTAATAAATTAGTTAGACAAGACCGGCTCTTGTGAATCCATGCTGAGTATCATTAATCAAGCTATGCTTATCGAGATGGCTTCTTATAATCTCAGCTATAATTGACTCTAGTAATTTGCCTACAATTGAGGTCAGGCTTATTGGGCGGTAATTTGACGGTAACGACTTGTCCCTGTTTTAAAAAATAGGAATTACATTAGCCCATCCACATATACAGACACTACACCTGTTTGAAGAGATAAATTAAAAATATTAGTTAATGGTTCACAGAGTTCCATTTTGCATTCCATAAGAACCCTTGAAAAAACCTCATTAGGACCCGGCGACTTATTTTGCTTCAGTCTATCTGCTTCACAACCATCTCACTAGTGACTGTGATGTTACATAATTTATCTTCTTCTAGCCCACTGTAAAAATTTATTACTGGAATATTGTTAGTGTCTTCCTGTGTAAAAACTGAGAGAAAATAATTATTTAAAATCAAGCACATTTCATTCTCTTTGTCAGTAAGGTGCCCATAGTTATTTTTAAGGGGACCTATCTTATCTCTAACTTTTGTTCTATAGACCTGGAAAAAACTTTTTGGGTTAGTTTTAGAATCCCTAGCAACTTTAATTTCATAGTCCCTTTTAGCTTTTTAATGTCCCTCTTAATGTCAATATACTGATTCATAAGATGACCCTCACCTTTTTGATACGCCTATAAATTCCTTTCTTATGCCCTAGTAGATATATGAGCCTATTATTCATCCATTTTGGGTCATTTCTATTTGATCTAATTTCTTTATATGGGATAAACGTTCTTTGAGCAGCATGTATAGTGTTCAGAAAACTGTCATATTGATAGCTCTCTTCGTTACCCCAGTCAACAGATGATAAGTGTTCTCTAAGCCCATCGTAATCTGCTAAGCGAAAATCTGGGACTGTTACTGAGTTATCGCTACTATCGTACTTCCATTCAATGCTAAATGTAATTGATTTGTGGTCGCTAGCACCCAGTTCCTCTGAAATTTCTAAATTATTAACAAGGGATTCATTGTTTGCCATAACTAAGTCAAGCAGGTTATTTCCCCTTGTAGGTTCTGTCACAAACTGCTTCAAAAAACAATCTGAAATACTTCTAAGAAGTCGAATGATTCTAAATTCCCACGTCAAGAAATTCCAATCAACATGACTAAAGTTAAAGTCTCCTAGAATTACTACATTATCGTGCCTTGTGGCCTTAACAATTTCCTCCCATAGTAATGTCTCCTTGGTCCCCATCTAAGTTTGGGGGACGGTATATCACTCCTAAAATCAGTTTTTCATGCCCCTCTGAAAATTCTATCCAAACAGACTCTGTATGTGTTACTTCAGACTTAATACCCGTTTTTTATGCAACAGTTCAAGCGATCTCGGACATACAATGCCACCCCACCCCCCTCCCAATACTTCTATCTTCTTGGAACAATTTAAAACCCTGAATAAACATTCCGCAGGCATGTCCCGACTTTTTGAATTAAACCACGTCTCAGTTAAGGCAAATACATCAATGTTACCTACACTAGCAACTAATCTCAACTCGTCCATCTTATTCCTAGCACTACGGCAATTAGCATAATAAACATTGAAAGACTCTCCTTTCTCTTTACCTTCCTGCTCATTTCTATTTTTCTACTAAACCTATTACTGTCCTTATCACCCAAGGTCCCGGCTTTTCAATATCTATCTCGTTCTTATTATTACTAGTTTCCCTAGAACTCGTAATATTACTACACTGGGACTTCACTGTTTTCCTGCCAAAACCCATACCACTAACTATTCCTAGATTAAAGTCATAACTGCTCCCCCACTGCAGTTGCCAGTGCTCCCACCCCACACCTAGAT